GTGGCATTTTAAGAACCCAAAGAACTATCTAATTTTAACAACAGTGTAAATCAACTGGCAGTTCTGACTGCCCTGTTCTCAGAGACTGGAAACCTGTGCATTCAGAAGTATACCTGACTACATGGTTTGTTATTAAGAGATATGCCCCAGGTGGAGGCATCTTCAAAGCCAATATATTTTCTTTATAACTGGTGTCAAATTGATGTATATATTAAAAAATCTTGGAAAATGATCTCAAAAAGGAAGTAACAGCCCAATGAGCCATATGTTCAGGGAACCTAACAGGTTTCCATTGGGACCAAATTTCACTTCACCTTTTTGTCCTTATGTGCAAATAAAAACTTATCTGTAAATACACCATTAAAACACTCATGCAAATTTGTGAGGTCTGTAGACTGAGGGGAAATCACACTAAGCTCATAAAAACCCAGTCATTGCATGATAAAGAATTTGATTAGATATTGGAAATAACAACATGGAACTGGACTAAATTTATTTGAGCTCTATAGGTTCACAGCTTCAGAGAGATACAGTGCTTCTATAGAACTGGTTAATGAAGAAAGAGTTAGTGAATAGTTAATAAATTGCTTAATTTTGATGCTGATGGTACATCTGAATCTCCAAGTTTACATGAATAAATGAAAAGTTAAATTTCTTTGCTGTTAGATAGGTTGCTATTTTAACAGATTCAGACACCAGGGAATTTTCCAAATGCCAGTTAATACTCTAGCATCGAAAAGTCTGTGATGTGCTGAGGGCAGAGGCCTGCTTAGTGGTTTTCCAAAGAGTGGAAACCAGAAAGCATTAACATTTACACCAAATCCTTCATGTATCTCTTTTTAAAAGAATTTTCAATTTAAAAACTTTTCAGCATTCTATATTATCTTAGTAGATCCTAATAATTTTGCATTCAGCTACTCTATTGATGTGTCTGGGCATATTCTGAAAGGAAAAATAATTCATTCTGTGCTCTTGCGTAGTTTTTCTTATGACTTGAATCAGTGATGACGATATTAAAATACCAAAATTTACTGTCATTTTATTTTTGTGTACCTTTGTTGTGAAAATTAAGGAGAAAAGTAGAGAGAAAAATATAAATGAAATCTTTGTGTATATGTAACTGAGCTTTATCAAATCTTCACATTTTAAATATGATTTTAAAAAATGAACAGTTGTGCGAAAAGTTATGCAAAGGTAAGGGTCAGCAGAAAAAAATACTGCATAGATTATCTTTCAACTACTTTTGTTTTCCATCTAAGGCTTGGGGGAAGGAAGTTTTATTATGTTAATTTAGACACCTGGTTAGCTAAATAGCAAGGGACAAGTTACAAGGAATTGTATTCTCATTCGGTCCAAATTTCTACCAGCTCTTTGTGGCTGTGTTCCACTGAACTCACTTAAGCCAAAAGAACAACGTTTTTAAATCTATAAACGTAGTTTATGGAAATCGGTAGCAGCACAAATATTCTAATGGTAAGGATAAAGTGTATTTTGAGCCCAATAAACGGCTTTTAAGCTCAAAAAGTAGGGGCAAGACCTCAGGTCCCCGTCCTGCTTCACCAGGTAAGGAAGACCTTTTTCAGCAGAGCCCCAGCTTCCGGGGCTTGGCCACCCTCTCTTAGCCACCCTCTCTCAGGCCAGCGTGCTGAGCAGGGCGGCCAGGCGGGAGCGGGGCTGCCCGAAGCGCCCCAGCCCCCCGCGCCCCAGTCTCCGCGGCCGCGGGTAGCGTGGCCCGCTCCTTTCAAGGCCTTTCTCCCCCGCGACTGTCTCGCGCTGCCTCCCTGGGCGTCCAGGAGGCCCTCCGTCTATCTCGAGGTCAGGAGGTCAGGCCTCTGGAAGCGCAGCGAACACGGAGGCCCTTCGGGTGTCCCCTCCGTGATGACGCGAGTCGCGCACGTGTAGTTTCGGTGGAGAGAGGAGGGGGCTGAGGCCGTCGCG